AATATTCACTGGACTGCCGTTTTTCATTGAATGCACCCTTTGGAAAGGGGCTTGAATTTTACACATTTATCTGAAGACATTCGTTTTCTGTAATTGCTGAATGAAATTCTCACTTTGCAAGTCTCTTGTAGAATATACTGTATTTCATTGAATCTTTTCCATCGAGGTCATCAAGATTCTACCTTCCTTCCTGCATTATAGAAATTGCAGAGTGCAGTATATTAGTGACTATTACCTTTACTGATGTGAGTTTTAAAAGATTATTAGCAACTCTTTAGTTGTGAGAAGGAGGAAAATCAAGAAACCTTCAGTGTTCTTTGGCATATCTTCCACAGGACTTGCAAGGCTGGAATGAGTATTTTGAGCCTTGACGTGAAGAGGATACATATTTACCATTTTCAGCTTTTTTCCACTCTATGGGTCAAACTCAGTAGCTTTATAAGAAACAAAATGGTATATTTCATCATAAAAAGCCAATCAGAGATGACATTAATCCATGTTATGTAAGTACTAAAGAACTGCTATAGGATTTTTTTTCTCTCATTATGAATTTATATGAATACAGGACTGCATGGATTAGAGAAGCAATAGAAGTTTGTTTTTTTGTTTTGCTGGTTTGTTTGGTTTTTTTGAGTTGGAGACTCACTCTGTCAGCCAGGCTGGAGTGCAGTGACACACTCACGACCACCGCAGTGTTGACCAGCTGGGCTCCAGCGATCCTTCTGTCACAGCCTTCCAAGTAGCCAGAACTACAGGTGCATGCTACCATGCCAGGCTAATTTTTTATTTGTTGTAGAGACAAAGTCTCACCAAGTTGCCCCAGCTTGTCTCAAACCCACGGGCTCAGGTAATCCACTCACCTCAACCTCCCAAAGTGCTGGGATTACAGGCTGAGCCACTGAGCCCAGTCTATTTCTGGGGTTTTTTTTTTAAAGTTTCATACTTAATTTTGAGAAATTTAAAAAATGTAGAAAAGTGAAAAAAAGAATGAATACATGTAGCTACTATCCAGAATTTGTAGTTTCTAATATTTTGACATATTTGTTTCACATCTTTGTTAAAAGATAGAAAGAACTATCATATATAAAGCTGAAGCTCCCCCATCCCTGCATTCCATTAGCCCCAGATCTGTTACCCTACCCATTGGCAGAGGCAACTATTTTCATGAATTTAGTGTATATCTTTTATAATTTTTAGATATTTCCATACACATATGAGATCAAAGGACTACACATTTACATAAATAACATTATACTACATTTCTCATTTTGCAACTTGATTTTTCACTCTGTATTAAATTTTTAGACCTATTCAAATTGAGATATATAAATCAGGTTTATTGCTCTAAAATACTAAATATTATTCTACTAAATTATTATATTATACTAAAATGAATATACAGCATTTTATTTATTCATTTTTCTCATTGACAGACATTGGAGTTATTTCCAATTTCTTCTATTATAAATAATGCTGCAATAAATATTGTTTTATGTCTCAACTTGTAGTCCTGAGTTAAATTTTCCATACTGTGTATGTTCTAAATGAAATTGCTGCACCAATTTTCAATTTTATTAGATATTGTTGCATTTCTCTCCAAAGTAGTTGGACCAATGTACATTCCCACTGGCAAAGGATGAGGGTCAAACAGTTTCATTTCTCTTCATTCTCACTAGTATTTATTACTGCAAGACTTAAAAGTTTGCCAATATGATGAGTGGAAAAATCATTCATATCTTGTTTTAATTTTCATTGCCCCCGCTACTAGTAAATTTGAGCAATTTCTCTTATGTTTATTGACTGTTCAGGTTTTCTCTTCTTTGAATTTTCTGAAACTTTCTTTGTCTATTTTTTCTATTATATTTGTTATTGATTTAGCGACATCATGTATTCTGGGTGCAAATATTTTATGGTAGATGTTGCAAATATTTTCTGACAGGAGAATTTAAAAAATAAAATGTAAAATTATAATCCATTGCTGTAGGCAATTAGGAAATTTGACAAGGATTCAAAGATCTTTAAGAGTCTTTATAGTCCTGAAGATGCAGATTTATCCAAATTTCCTTATACCCATCTTAGGCATCTCTTCTTAATCCAGGTGAAATAAAACATTATTTAAATTTTTCTAGTTATGTTTATCTTATCTTATATCCAGTATGCTATGTATATTGCTTCCATTTCAAGGTGAGTTCTTTATTCTTTGGCAAATGGTGTGCAAATTTAAGATATTTTCTTGTCCATTTATTTCATATGATAACTGTTTTTCTAAATGATATTTCTAAGCCTAAGGTTCAAGGAACAAGTGTGAACATCACTGTAGAAAAGATCACACGGGCTTCATTTTGAGGAAAGTGAAGTCAAAGAGCTGGTAGTTGGAATCTTGCCTTGTAGTAATTTTCATAAACATCCAGCTGTGGAAGTTCTACCAAGAGGAAGAGATTGCAAAATTGTTCTTTCCCTTGATTATTTTCCATGACTTGAGTTTATCAATGGACACTGAGCAGAAAATAATAAGTGCTGGGCATAGAATGGTGACTGCAAAACAACTGAAGCCATGCCATTGTTGCTCTGTCTATAATTGGAAATAAAGCTAAATAGCTCTTTTACTCTTGGTTACAGAACTCTAATGTTTTGCACAGTTAGAGGTATTTGCTAAAAAGTAGCATTTATTCCAGTAATTTTAGAAAAAGCTGTCATCGAATTGTCACCAGCCCAAATTGAGATTAAAAATTCTAAGAAATATCACAATATAGCAACTTAAAACTCATATTGGATTTTTTTTAAGTGATGAGGTGGAGCAGTTTTGAAAAAGAGAGAAGCTATGGCATCTTATGGAGGAAGGATGGTAGATCTGTGGAAGGAAGATCCCCATCTCCCCACCCCATATGCCCTGTCTCAAGCATTGAATAGACATCATATTTAGGACACTGCCATTGTGTTTCATCCATCCTGTAGAGATTACAGGAGACCTTGAAGAACCTTGAATACCCAATCGAGAGACGTGTGACTATAATATATGATTTTAAATCTAATTTCTGATTTCTTCACATTCTTGCCACATCCTACAAGTCTAATGATGTAGTATGTAGCAAAAGTCTTATCTACTTTTTACAATGTTTTCTTGGTGACTGAGCTTTTATCTTTCTGAACCAATGCCTTGTTTCAAGCTTTAAGCATCATGTGAGGGGAGAACCCCCCCAAAAAACCCTGGAATTTATTTATGAAAAACTTTGTATTTATTCTTACATATTTAAACTTTAGTCACCTTCAAAGTACTCTTCTTTTGATGCAATACACCTATTGAGATGCTTTTTCTACTACTCAAAACAGTTTTTGAACTCATCAATTTTGATGCCTTTTAGTGCTTCTGGCATTTTATAATTTCACTTCTTTCACGTCAGCAAAACATTTCCCTTTGAGGACTTTTTGCATCCAGGAAAACAAAAAAAGTTTTGTTTTGGGAGGGTGGACCACAGGAGTCATGAAGTTTTTGGTCAAAAACTGCTGAACACTCAATGTGGTATGGGCAGGTGTGCTCATAAATCACCCATCATGAAGTAGGCAAACACGTTGAAAGAATCTCTTAAAAAAAAATCGCTGAAGCTGAATGCAGCCTCTCACAACAACGCTAACTGGTACACTGATGGCAATGGGTTCCTAGAACACTTACCTTATGGGGGGAAACCTGTAGGGGCCCACCCTCCAAAAGATAACTCCGCTTTTGGGGGGGGTTCCCTTATATAGTCGCCTTAGCTGCAGTAAAGAAATGCTCCTGTTTCTGTATCTACCAAGAGACAGAGCTTCCAATTTTGTTTCATTCAGAACTCTTTCTGTAAGTCTTCACTGAAAGCTGCTTAGTCAAACATCTCAAATGTCAGAAATGAAGTTTAAGGGGTTTTTCTAGCAAGTAGGTCTAATCTCCTACTTAGTTTTGATTCTTATAATATAGGTAATCTCTTTGGAGAAAAGGCCTGCTTCTAGGAGGGCAAATATATCCCATAGAATGTATTTCCTATTCCGGAAAGAAAAATGTAGCATTAATGAAATTTACTTTTTATGAAGCTTGGAAATGTTGTAAGCTTAGGATTTTGATCCTAGCAGATGTTCTTTTTTGGTTATTAAAAAAAAAAGTTGCATTTGATTTAGAAATCTCTAGTTAAGAGTTGCAACAGTAATGCTTCTTATTATAAGCAACCACATTGTGATATGTGATATACTGGTCATCAGTCCTGAGTGACAGCTGACCCCATAACTCACAAGGATGTATCATTTGAGAGAGAGAGAGTTAGCAGCCCGGGAATCCTAGACTCAATTCTATGGTTAAAGAGCTGTTTGTGTACAGTAAAAAAAGTATCATCCTAGGTACATTTTATGTCATTTTCTTTTAGGCTTTAGAATGACAAAAATTTGTTGATAACCACTGTATCCCAAATCCACATGTCAGATGGATTTCTCAGTGCTGTTGTGAAACTTAGCCAGAAGCCCCATTTCACAGCCTGACATGATTTATATCCTTCACTACGGTGAATCCTCACAGTTGAGTCTTATGTCTTCCATGCTACTCTGCCCATAGAAACCACTCCTGACTTTCCCCATCCACCCTGGGGGCAAAGCTTAGCCTTTTCACTGGTTTCCATAGAAATCTGCTCACCACCAGCCTTTACTTTGAGGGAATTATTGGGAGAAGGCCTGTGACAGAAGTCTAAGTTCACACCTACCTTGTGTCTCTCATTTCCCTCCTCCCTCTTCTTTCAGTTCAGTACAATAAACACACTGTCCCCATGTCTCAGAGCTATTCCACCTGTACTGAGGCCCTTTAAAGTTTTGGATTCTACCCTACACTTGCCAGAATATTATCACAACAAAGACAACTCTTGCTTCCTAAGAAGAACCTCGGTGAATGTTTTTTCCAAACTCAGATCCCAAGGAGACATATTGAATTAATGGAAGTGTTTGGTTTTTGGTGTTGCTTCATGTTGACCTTTGCTTTTATCACACAGGTTTCCAGTGAGGATGTTGCTGCCTCTCCAGAGCGCCACTACACACCCCTGCCTTCTGCTTCCAGGGAACTCACCAGTCATCGAGGTTGGAACTCAGTTTTTTACTACTCTCAGGGGGTGCAGGAGGGACACTTGGCTGTGCAGAGCTCTGGGCTCATTACTGCTGCCTCGGCACTTTAGAAAGAACACAGTGCTTTTTAAGTCCTTGATGAGAAAACCATACCTGTCAAACCTAGTGATTTTAACCCATATTAAACAGAATTTAGTGGCAGTCTACTGGGGAGGCCAATAAATTCGTGGTATAATATAATTTTGTGATATTTTTCTTTAAATAGATTATGGCACTTACAAATTACTAAGGAGATTGTTACCTCCAATAATAGTGATGGAGAGAAATTGGGAAACTCACTAATATTTGTAAAAATATCATTGGGAGCGTACAGTTGACGTCTGTAATTTCAAAATGAATGAATTCTGTATTACAGCTAAAAGGAATTCCAATTTGCCTGGTAATGTTGAGAGAATCCATGTGTGGTTTTTGCTGAATTCTCTGATTCTCAAAACATTAATTTGGTTTACCCAGTTTTTCCAGAAACTTCTATTGTCATCTCTAGACTATTCAGTTTCAAAAGCAAGATAGAATACTGACATAGAGTATCATTTGAAAATGCCTCATTGCTAAACTCGTTGCTTTGAACATTGTTTCTCAAGCAGAAAATTCCCCTTGTATATGTAGGGGACACTGAATAAGGAGTATTTTTGTTCTTTTTTTAATATTTATTTTTATTTTTAAAATGTGGGGTACAATTCAGGGTTAGGTATACAAATGGTCCTTATGCAGATACCCTTGTTGATGAGGTGTGCCACCCTCCTCCCCTGGCAGTTTCTCACTACTACCAATCTCTTTATTATAGTATTATGATAATTGTTTAAGGTCCATTTTTGAAGTGAGAACATGAGGTACCACTCGGTATGATAGACTCTAAATCCATCCAAGTTGCTGCAAAGTTCTTAATTTTATTCTTTTTTTTTTTGACTGCGTAGTATTCCATTGTGTATATGTACCACATTTTAAAAATCCAGTCCACTTTCAATGGGCAGCACAGTTAGTTCCATGTTTTTGCTATTGTGAATAAAGCTGCAGTAAACATGCACGTGCAGGTATCTTCTCCATAGAGTGATTTGAGTTCCTCTGGGTATATTCCCAGAAGGGGGATTGCAGGGTCATATGGAAGGTTGATTTTTAGATCTTTTAGGAATTGCTAAACTGTTTTCTACAGGGGTTGTACTAATTTACACTCCTACCAATAGTGTAGAAGTGTTTCCTTTTCCCTGATTCTCTCCATCATCTGTTGTTTTTTGAGTTACTGATGATGGCTATCCTGTCTAGAGTTAGGTGTTATCTCAGTGTGGTTTTAATTTTCATTTATTTGATGATTAGTGAGGCAGAGCATTTTTTCATGTATCTGTTGGCTGCTCTTATGTCTTCTTTTGAGAAGTGTCTATTCATATCTTTTGTCCAGTTTGTAACAGGGCTATTTGGGGTTTTTTTCCTGTCATCCCTGCAACATTGCTATATGGGTGGGTAGGAGGAAAGGCTATGGAGTTCCTCAGAAAGCAATAGAGCTGACCTTCTGAGACAATCTGGGTTCTGGGAAAACAGAACACTTGTATTCCACAGGAGATGATCAAGAGAGTAGTATAGAATTCCAGGGGTCTATGACTTACACCTATGCTGCCTGTTTGATGTCTGGGCATCAATAGAACTTTTCTACATTTAAATATACTTTGGTTTAATTTGGGTTCAGTGTGATTCCCTTCATTAAGTGTTAGTTTGGTGAAAATCAATTTTTCTCAAAAACAGGTATTATGTTTTGAGAGGCATGAACAGGTCTCTTTCACTGAATGTCCTTATGAAGGTCTTGAGCATATCCCTTTAGAGACTGTAATGGGGAATATCCCTAGACAAATAATACCACATCTAAAAAGATTAACACATTAACCCTTAAATTAGCATCACATCCATGTGTTTATTTATTGGTTTCTTGTATTTGAATAAGGTAATTTTACTTTATAGTCTATTGAATAACTTGCATAGGGACTGAAGTCTCAGAGACCTCAAGGACACTTGCAAAGTTTAGCTGGCCATGAAACTGAGATTTCACAATGGGAGGATGTGTTCAGATAAATGACACAATCATCAAGAATAGGGCAAATATCATCTGTCATGTTAACAGTAATATAAGAAATATGAGCCTTGATGATTCCAAATATAAGATAATATATTCGGAAGGTATTTTGAGTATTATTTGGAATATGGAAAAATACCTACAATAGTTTGAGTTCAAATAAGTGCACTTGGATGACATCAGAGCCTAACATCAATGGGACAAATGAAAAAAAAAATGCCATTTAAAGGGAGCCAACAACAGGCATCTCAATTTTACTGAGGAATATCCCTATGCATTTAACATTGGTTTCCTGATCAGTGCGAGGACTTGGATGTTGGAAAAAAGCAAGTTTGCATCATCAAATGATGTTCTTTGGCCTATGGTCATGAAGAGACCAATAAAGAGAGGTTCAGAGAAGTTCATTAGAGCTGGATTATCGTTGGACTAATCTATGTAGGGGAAAGGTGAGACTAGTTAGTATGTTTCAGCTTGGCATGAACGAACATGGCTTGAATCAGGTTGACTTTCCACACCAACTAATGGGGAAAGCCATTATTTGTTGGCACCAAAAATGAAACCACTTAATGTCATCTTTTAAAAAGATATGCAAGTAAAGGAAATTATTTCAAATTTTTGAACTCAGAAAATACTAAACTATTTGTCATTTAATACCTGTGTGAAAACAGCCCTCAAACATTTATGCAGAAAAGGACCTTTTATGGTGTGAAGACAAATTACATCAATTCTTTCCCAAATGAAATCCTCTGTGATGTCTGAAACTTGGTCTATAAAATCCTAACTTGAAGTTCTATTTGTAAATCCTTTTTGATTCATCCAGTTCCCAATCTCTTTTCCTTCCGCACCAACAACTACAAAAACTGGCGGGCAGTAGTTCATGTGCAAATTGCTATTTTTCTGTATATGTCATTTTCCCTTTATGTGTCCTTTTATGTAACTTCCAATGTCGAGTATGATAGTCCCAAGATTCATGTCCTAAGAACTATAGATTCCAATGCTAAGGAAGTCTGAGCCTAGAATAATGATCAGGAGACAGGGACTCAATTTTCCATCTGTAATGTGTAGTTAATCCATGCATCATAGGGACTGTAACTTTCTGCTTCCTGCATAAAACTTTTACTGATCTGAGCTATATTGTTTTTTTTTTCCCTCCTATAGTTACTGATAATATCTATTTTTATCTCCTTAGTGCAATTTTTCATATTTTTTGTTGTATGAAGGGGTCAGGTTATATATGTCTTATACTCCTTATAAAGGAAAACTCCCTGAGAAGCAATAGTAAGTCTAACTCCTCTTGTCTTTCATATCATTAACTCCTACTCATTCTTCAGGTATCAGCTTAAATATCACAGCTCCAATGGAAACTCCTCTGATCTCCCCTGCATATTTTTATTAGGTCAGTGTTTTCTATTCAGAAACTGTCTTCCTAGATAGGTCATAAGCTGTTGGGAAGAGTGGAGTTATTTGCATCTATTTGCTCACCACTGTATCTTCAGTGCCTGCATAGGACCTCCCACTTAATGAGAGCTCAATAGGTATTTGTTCAGCAAAGGATGATGGATAGAAACACAGGAGAAGAGTGAGTACCCTAGTTACCTTCGAGAGGCAACTTGATTGCATATGAGAAAGGATGCCCTTTCTAGCTAACTGTGTGGACCTCAGACCTCAGCTGTTGCTTTCAGAAACCAAAATCATTATGAATGGGAGTCATATCTATTGATTGATTAACAGAGAGCATTAGCTACAAAGCTGAACTTCTTAGATGATTATTTTAATGTTGTAGTTTTCAATTGTTGATGTTCTGTTGATAGGGAAGGGAATAGGAAGAATTGAAGCAACCGATGGAATTATTTTACTAGAAGCGAAATTCTCAAAGAAGGGGCTGGACTCTCAATAAGATACAAATTGTGGTATACACACAAATTTAGAATGGTTCACCTGAATTCTGAGCATGCTGCCTTAGGTTTGAGCATATCTTTGGAGTATGGGGACACAGGGCTATGTCAGTCATATCAACTGTTACCTAGTAGCAGTTTACATATTTTGTCCTCATTGGATGTCCATGCTATGAGAAACACTGAAATATTTGTTGGAGAAATTTCTCTTTAAGCATGTTAAGGGTACAAGTCATGCCCAGCATGCCAGGGTATAACCGCTTTTTATGTGGTAGCTGTTAGAAGTAGAATTCACAGCTGAGCAAGGTGGCTCAAGCCAGTAATCCTAGCACTTTGGGAGTCCAAGGCAAGAAGATTTCCTGAGTCCAGGGATTCGAGACCAGCCTGGGCAACTTGGTGAGACCTCATCTCTACAATATATCAAAAAATTAGCTGGTGGTGGTAGCACAAGCCTGTGTAGTTCCAGCTACTTGGAAAGCTGGGGTGAAAGGATTGCCTGAGCCCAGCAGGTTGACGCTGAGGTGGCCATGGCGACAGAATGAAACTCTGACCCAAAAAAGAAAAAAATGTTAAATTCACATTTATATAGATCATTGAGTCTTTTAGGGAAAGCACTTCTATTTAGAATGTAGACCATATTCTCAAGAAAACCCTGTAAGGTGAGGAGGACACATGTTATTCCCATTGAACAGAGGAAGACACCAGGAATTGCTGGGGGTGATGGAGACATTCAGCAATGGAGGAAAGGGGAAAACAAACTCTGTGCTCAAGTCCCAGGTCATCCCTAACAACCATTCTTCACATACGACATAGGAAGCAAATGCAAGTAGGGCTAATTGTGTCATTGTGTTGGAGGGAAGAGGAGAAAAAGTAGAGGGAGAGGCATGGCCTGGAAATGTCCACCGCCAGAGTAAACTTCCACAGCCTTTGCTAAGGATGCCAGGAGGTACAACATCCTCATTCTCACCTGCTTCTGTTAAAAAAATTGCCTGTGTCTCCCT